TCTTATCAGAACCAGTGAATTTCTTGTCACTTCCGTGCAACATCTTATATAAGAATCTTATCAGAAACTTATAAAAAGCTGATAAGTATTTTGTATGTTTCTTGTGAGTGCCTTGTAAGATCCTTATTTAAGAATCGATGTCTAGGGAATAACCCATTTTTGCCTATATTTGAGTAAAACTAAAAGATTGATAACTCAGTCAAGATCCATCCAAATTACGTCAGAATATCAAGATGTACATCTTGATATTCCGACGTAATTTTAATGAATCTTGGCTCCGTTATGAATTTTTTAATTTTACTCAAATAGAGGCAAAAATGGGTTACTCCACCTAGCATAGGTTTTTGTAAGTGCTTTTAAAAACAAATATTGCCAGGAGATGCAGCGTGGTCGATTACCTATGCTTCTATTTATTTTCAGAATTGCCACACGTAAAGATCGATTGATTCTGAGACTCTCAGGAAATCCGATGCCACTCCTGAACCGGACAAAATTAAGAGTTTGCTTAACTCTGATTTTGCAGAGGACACTTATCTATCTATGAAGAACGGTTGACCTATTTCTATGTCAGTTCTCGGAGATCCAAACTCGTTTTCCAAAGATCTGCTGCAAATCCAGTCTTTGAATCTTTTCCAAAAATCATTTTTGCTTGTGGAAAGAAGCGTACAGATCTTGGCTATCGAATTGTGAAAACCGCAGATCTCTATCTATCTTCTGTCAAAAGTCACGCAAAAAGCAATCTTCTGCCTTGTATTTTGGAACGGATAGTACAACATCTCGGCTACTATTTTCCATAGTTTCAAATCAGATAATACTTTCTTTTTCTTTATTAAACGTTTTAAGGTTTAAAGATGAGATTTATAAATCTCATCTCATCAGTTCAACGGGCCACTGAAATTGGGCAACCCTATTGCATCTACGTCCAAAGGTACCGAGACAGTGAGCATTAGATAGCTGAAAGGAATGAAACAATGAAAATACTTGAGAAAAACGCTAGTTTTTAATAACTGGCACTTTTTGCCCTGAAGAAAGCATCTGTTAAATTTGGATTTGCTAGAGAAAATATCAGAAATGAAATTTCGTACATTTTGTCTACTGGCGTTAACTTCATACGATGTGATCTTCAACGGACGACTGTTGGATTCGCTTTATTCCTTTGACGTTAGTCAGGGTCAGAAAATGTCTCCTGGTAGAATCCATCTGAAATGTCCTTCTACGGAAAGTTTTTCTCTTTTGTTCTCGTATTCTGATCTCTATACGTTGTGTTCTGACTAGTGATACTGCTACTTGTAGTTTGTCCAGAATTAACAACTGGTTTGTCTACTGCCGAGACAAAGTATGGGTGAAATAGATTGATACAATTAAGATGGAAGGACATTTTTTCTGGGACATTTTACCATCGAGCCCATTTATCCGGGTAGATTTGAGAAAGGACATTTTTTCAGGGACTAATATGACATAATTCAAAGTTTTAATGAAATTATAAAAGAAAAAATTGTAAAAAATAAATATGAAGAAAAAAAAGTAATAATACATTTCAGCGTAAAAAACATTAGTAGAACTAAAACTATAAAATTATTTAAAAATATTTCAAATAAAATTCTAACCGATAGGTTAAAATACGCATGAGAAAAATACCGAACAAGTTAGATAATTCTTTTATTCCCGCTCTCTCAAATTTCACATTTCACCACAACAGACCCTTATTAACTTCCGATACTTTTTCGTGTATTTCAGTATTAACACTATCCGATATTTGATTACCGCTAAGCCAAAACATTGACAAGTTTTTATTTTCACATAAACCTTTTTCAATATGTTTTGCGCCAATATCTGATATTTTATTACGGTCAAGATGGAAATAGTGTAACGTCGTATTTTGAGAAAGCATTTCACCGATAGCCTTTGCACCTCGATCGGCTATTTGATTACCGTGTAAATCAAGAAAGGTTACAGATTTATTTATTTTCAATGCTTCCGCAATAGCTATGGCTCCATCATCCGATATTTTATTTTTAGACAGATCAAGTGAAGTTACATGTTCATTAAAACTTAATGCTTGTGCAATATATTTTGCTCCGTCACTCGATATCCGATTTACTGAAAAATCGACACTTTCGAGTTTTTCATTTGTCTGAAGAACACTTGCAAGAACTTTTGCACCTATATCAGATATTTTGTTTTGAACCATACTGAGATTATCTGTCGGAGCTTCATCGAAATACGGTACCTTTTCTCCATTGATGATGATTCTATCAATTTTTTTATTTATTTTTAATGCATTAGCTATAAGCTCTGTTGTTCTATCTGAAATAACTCCGACCATTTGCACACTTTCTAATTTCTCATTTTCTTTCAATGCATCAGTTACAGCTTCAATTTCATCGTCCCTCAACGGACTATTAAATGTTACCTCGGTTAATACACTGTTTACTTTTAAATTTTCTGAAAATATTTTTGTTGCTTCCTTATTTTCTCCAATAGAGCTGTTAAACGTTACACCTGTAACATATCCTTTCTCAAGAATGTTAGAAAATGATGTCATTTCCTGTGATATCAATGGTCGTTGAACGTTCAAGCAACGCTCTTGTTCACGAAAATCTATATTCATTTTTATCAATTCATCGGTATCATCCGCCGTGACATTATGTTTTTTTTCAACAATTTCGGTCGAATTGTTTTCATCAATTTCGACTAGCGGAGCCGCTTCTGCACTTGAAGGAAAAAACTTACTTTTCAACTCGAGTCCGATAATGAACAGAAAAAATAATAATTTTATCAATAGAGGAAGCAACATTTCCTTCGTTTTTGTTACCATTGTCATTGTTGTCATTGCTATTGTTCCTTGGCTATTATCACTCGTATCACTATCATCTGGTGAATATCCAATAAGTACATCATTTGAATAAGCTTTTAATCTTAATGGCAATAATCGATTGCCTTTGTCGTCCATTTCAAATTGAATTGGATTATCTTCAATCGATAATAAAACAGTTATTTTCGGAAATATATCATGTATATCTTGTAACAAAACAAATTCTTGGTTGTCAATCACGCTAATTGAAATATTTTTTTTTTGCCCTTTATATTGAACTTGTTGATACGTCATGATCTAAACAAACGAAAGAGAGATCATGAATCCATTCATTTATTTTCAACAGTTTAATTTTTTCATACAGAATGTTCCTCAAAAAATCTCAAGGAAAACACAATCATCCGCTATTGAAACCTAACTGGTTTTTCCTACAAACTCGAAAAACGTTATTGATTTTTCCTGTAAAAAAATGATAAAAATTTGTATTTCTATAGACATAGTATTAACGATGAGAATAACTCATCCATCTCCTCTGTTTTCACCGTACATTTTTTCTTTCTCTTATGTCTATAACTGTATAGTTTGTTTTTCTTTTACTGTCTTATTACGTATGGTGTATGATGTGTTGCTTCTTTGACTATGTTTTTTTCTTTCTATAAAAGTATTTATAGCACGTAGTGACTTTATTAAAACACTAGCCATAGAACAGACATAGAAATCCTTTATCCAGTTTCCAAACTAGGCCTGTTACAAGTTGTTAATGAGCCAGCTAAAATAGAAAATAGTTTTAAATTTTATTATTCATTTACTTAATAATAAAAAGAAGGTTGCTGCTTACGGGTCTTTTTATAAATGTGGCAAATGTACCGGTGTACACTCTCGATTGGTATAAAGAAAAAGGAAATAATTTTCTCTAATGAATTTTTTCTTTCAGCACATTTCTATAGTTTAATAGAGCTACCTATTAAATAATATTCTAGAAGAAAAATAACGAACGAATGGAGACTGCTGTGAATAGAGAAAGAAAGTTCGTTTTCTTTACAATTGTCTGTTAATTGAACACACTGTTTTTTGCTACCTGGTACTTGAAGTGAAATTTATGTGATTCAAAACAATATTTACTTTATATTGGTAGTGATGGGCTGAAAGAAGTAATAGTCGAAATAATTTCTTTTTCGTTCTTTCTATATTCGTAGTCTCATATTATACGTATATAAGTCATGGCGGAAACACAAGAAGAGTTTGTATGAAACGCAAGAAAACAAAATTTTTGACAACATAACAAACGAAAGATATTTCGGTTAAGATACCTGGCCGTGAAAGTTGATGACTGTGAAGAAATAGCTACTAAAACATCAACATTTCTTGTTATATGATTGGTTTAATCCGTGTTTTTTTGCAGAAGTTAAAATTGCCTGTGAAAGTTTACGGTAGTCTTTCAAGGTTATGTATCTTAACGAGACATTTCTTACGAAATAAAATATATATCCAAGCTGGCCACGAAACGATTGTAGTCAATCAGAACGATTCTTTCTTAAGGCAGTGACCTCTGCTGCATTTTCATTTTGCATTCTTTTTTCATTTGTAGTCCCTACTCTGCTCTGTTTTTATTTCACTGCCTGAAGAATGTCGTGGTTTCTTTTGCTGATGAATGAGTGTCCGATCTGTCACGTCTTGCGCTACCTTTTATATCTGAAGAAGAAGCTTGGCTTCTGTTAGCATTCCTTATAAAGTGTGGCGTCATAGCCGATTGCATCAAACTAAGTGTATTACTACCTCCGAAACCGATCGTACTATATTGCTGACCACCATATCCACGTTGCTAATATGCATATCTCGTCAAAGTATGCCCTTCCTTCTGTATTTTATTAGTGAGGGATGGTAAGGATTTATTATTTATTAGTTAAACTGCTTCTCTAGTAACCTTGATCGTTTCAGCTGACACAGTCTGAGTTCACATCCTCTACTTTCTTTTCACGATCACTCCGATTTTATTAGAAGTTATCAGTAACTACCTCCAGCTTTAGTTGCTGGTCATGGTCAAACAAATAGACAGTTGAAAATCTTATCAAATGATGAAATACTCGTTTCATGGTATCTGTTGATATGAACAACATGTTTTTTAAATTAATGCTGTTTTAGTTATCCAAGCTAGCTACTATTGTTGTTTTATGACTGTGTTTTTTAGATACTTCTTTATTTAGACTTTTTCTTGAATAAGCTAAAAATTGTTATTTAGGGACAGACGTATACGTAGTAATCGCGTCGTCAAGGAATTAAGTAATTATGCGGCTATGGACGTCTTTTATTATAAAATAATATAATGAAGTCTCCAAATATAACACACAAATGATAGAGTATAAATACACTAGAAATTATCTGAAGAAAGTGTCAGAACGCAACAGTGTGAATATATCAAGGGGGAAAGTGTACTCCTGGACTTCTATGAACTCATGAAGTCCAAAAGCTCAACGTCAACCAGTTTCCACATACAGCATCTCAATTAAAACCTAATTCATAGACATCAAGCTCAACGACACAACTTATATTTCTCATGTCGACATGAATGCACGCTTTGTTAAACATAGATTACTTGTGATCTTCAATAATAAATAGATATATCCTTTTATTCCCTTGACTGGCATGAAACTACGTTTGTGGCTCCGCACTTTGCGTGCAAAAACGGTAAGTGACGGACGTACATACATATAGTCATGTGGCAGTGTGACGGATGTACATTTCAACCAAAACGTAGTTTTGAATTTCATGCTGTAACGTATCACATATTGTAGCCCAGACCCATTGTAGTCCGATGAAAACAAGCAGGACTGAAAACCTCTTTCCGCAGTTGTAAAAGAACTTTTTCAAAACTTGCTCCATGTTTTACCTTTGGTACCCATATAGAAAAAGTTTTTTCACCACTGCAGAAAGAGATTTTCATGTCGGCCTTTTTTCATCGGACTAGAATTGGTCTGGGCTACAATATGTGATACGTTACAACATGAAATTCAAAACTCCATTTTTGCTTGAAATCCACGTCCCATGGGGAAAATTCAAGTAAAAACTCGATATCTCAGCAACAAAGCTGATTGTGTCCGAACCAAGTTGAGATTCTTCATAGCGAGGAACTGATTAGTTGAAACTGGTGCTCTGGTATAAAAAGATAATGATGATAGTTGAGTGGAATTACTAGCAGCTGCTGTTATGGTTGTTTGTTGTTTTATTTTTGATTTGTCTGTTTCATTATTTCTTCATTTTTTTTCATCAACAGTTCTTTTAAATATTTAATATTTGCTCTAATACCAGCTTTTAAAAGAAATAAACCATCAGCTAATGTAAATGATATTTTTTTTTAAATCAGTTAAATCTGGGCAATCAACATCCATAATATCAAATACATCATCAGTCAATGATAGTGACTGAGAATAGCATACTTATCAGTTGAAATTAATGCACACAATTTACGTTACTTAACATTATTAGTTAAACAAAAAAAACTACCAAAAGAAGTATTAAGTATATACTCATTTAATTCTCAATCATGTGAATCTATATTTCGTAATACAAGATCATTAAGTGGTGCTTACTCTACAATTATTAATTTTACAGTCCATGGTTTCTTCAACGAGCTGAAAAATTGTTGATATTAAATCAAATTAAGTGTAGTGAACAATCAGATGATAATGGTTAGCTTTTATTTCCAGTACATCACAAACATAAAAAAGACAATGATTTATTAACATTACAAATTGCTGATGACGTTGAACAATTAGAACAAACTATATTAGATTCATATAATACAGCAATTAGGTTGATTGTAGATCTCCATATGTCAACAGCTTTAAAACAAAATGGTATATTTCAATTAGAATAATTAAGTAAACATATATTTCATGACTTAAATTCAACATCGAAATTGACAATTCAATAACAAATAATACCGAGATGATAATACAGTGATGATTCTGAAATTCCGAAACTGTAGCAATTGTGAAATTTTCACTTTCTTCAGATTATCCAATTCTTATATTCCTCCGAATCTGAAATTCTCTCTTTCTGAGATTCTGAAACTTCTGAAATTTTCTCTTTCTCGAGAGTAATGATAATTCGACCGGTCTGCCTCAGAACGACTATTTTCATATACAAGGTTGGAAATAATATTTTTCCAGGGGATTAAAGCTGAAACTACAAATAATATAAAAATGTATTATATACCAAATTAATGCTCATCTAAAATGGAATTGATGTCTACAACTGAGATTCCGTATGATGATTATTGACTGTAGAACTATGGAAGTTTCTATCGAGTGCGTCATAATGATTAAATTCTGGGTGTAGCGGTGCTTAGAGTAAAAGTCCCGTAACTTCAACAAAACAAACGCTTTTTCGATCGGGTTTGTTTTGTTTTGATCAGGAATGATTGCTTTTCTATTACTAATTCTGAAATCAAAACATCGATCAGGTTTTCCATTTCTTACTTCGGCACATTGCTGAAAATGAGGAAAAATTTTTGAAACTTAGTTCTCCAGTCCACCATCTGCTCTAAAAAACATTTTTCACAGGCCAGGGGAAACAGCATGTTCAGAAGTACAAAAAGAACTGAGTTCTCACTTTTGCTACACTCTTTTGCGTGAATAATTGCTGAAGAAAAAAGTCAAGTCGAAAAAATACCAAATATACAAAGTTTTCATTTTTTTCGCCTTTCGTATAATTTACGTAGTTTCCTTGATTGAAGTTCTAAAATTAAAGTTTAGGTATGGTTTTGTAGAATATTTCGTGGCGCATCTTTTAAAAAAAACACTAACCGCGAGATCCTGAACGTACACGAGAAAAATAGAAAATACTGAGAGGCTTATTCATTATGATGCACTCGATAGAAACTTCCATAGTTCTACAGTCAATAATCGTCATACGGAATCTCAGTCATACCCATCAATTATAGCTTAGATGAACATTAATTTGGAAATATAATATATTTTTATATCACCTGTAGTTTCAGCTCTACCCCCTGGAAAAATATTATCTCCAACCGTGTAGGTGATATACCGAAATATAGCGCAGAAAAAGAGCTTTCGAATGATATATAATAGGTCTAGTAAGGTAAGAAGTCGAGAGAGACACACTCAAAACTCTGATCGATAATACATATCAGAAGGAGCAGAACTTTGATTACAGTTAATTCGACCCAATTCTTTTTCTGAGAGCAATTCTAAGCTCTGCCGAGTGCCTCCTGTTCTTTCTGCATCTAATCATGTATGTGGAATTCAGACAGGGCCCCATCCATTCCAGCAAGTAATCGCCTTTTGATCTTTCTCCCTTCATCGAGCATATGTAGATGAATATAGAAAGTAAAAAGCAAAAGAATACATTTTATATTTTTATATTCTCAGTCAATTATTCTGTACTCATCGAAAATAGTGCCCACTTCAATCTGTGGCCTAAACTGTTATTTTGATAGATTAAAATAAAATTTAACTAAAAAGTACGTAATTCTACTTTTTACACTACTTCATAACACACGAGTTGTATTCTACGTCGACTACCAAAGCAGCACGGCCAGGTTACTCTGTTACCGAAGTGAAATTCGGTGACGAAATGTTGACAATGTGTGTTTATATTTTTTAACAAAACTATATGAAGTGCTGTTAAACATCTAGAATTGTAAAGTAAACGTTTCTCTGCTCGCCATTTTACTGGGTAGCAGACTAATCTGGTCTTTTCGAATGTTTATTCGGTTAGTTGTTTACTTTAAAAATTTGTTTATCATCAATTTTGCCGAAATCTTCATGGTCGATAATAAGAACTATTGTAGTATAATCAGATTCATGTTTAGGAGGAAGAAATATTATATTGTCGATCGAAAAAGAATTCGAATAACCACATGTCCCCTGCACAAATCATCTTATTTGTGCCGTGTTAAACTAATTAATAGAAGGCTGATACTTGTAACTGATGTTGTTTCCTCATACCGTTTGTTATTATTTAACTTTTTTAACTAGTGGATCATAAAAAATGATATCATTGGCATTTTCTACTTTTCTCGTGCTCTTTTAGGATCTTAAGGCTAATGTGTTTTCTAAATGATGAGCCGCGTAATACTCTACAGAATAAAATCTAAACTTTAATTTCAGAACTTCAATCAAGAAAACTACGCAAATTAGACGAAAGGCGAATAGCAATGAAAACTTTGTAAATTTGATAGTTTTCGACCTGAGCTCTTTTTTCTGCTATTATTTCCGTTAAAAGGTGTAGCAAAAGTGAGAACTCACTTTGATTAGTACTGTCGAATGCGCTCTTTCCCTTGGTCTATAAAAAAGTTTTTTAGAACGGATGGTGTGCTCATGATCGAAGTTTCAAAAATACGTCAGAAATTGAGAATCTCTCGTTTTCAACAATGTGCTCAAGCAACAAACGGAAAACGTAATCGAAGTTTTGATATTGCAGTTAGGTAGGAAAGAGCAATCATTTCTGATCAAAACAAAACAAATCCGATCGAAAAATCTTTTGTTTTGATGGACTTATACTTTTAGTTTTACTGGAAGCACCATTACGCAGAATTTGATGAGCAAGTGTCCACCAACATCTTAAAAAATTAATTAATGTAAACATAAACACTCAAAACATAGATTTCATCCAGCGCCACCTTAGACCATCACGTTTGAACAGAGGAGTTACATTTTAGACCAAAGGTCTGCGCTGGTAAGCTGTTTAATCAAGAATTGCGCTAAGTATACTGATTATCTCATATCACCCTCTATTCGATACAAAAACATATCGACATTCATCACAATTTTTGATTAAAAACATGTACGTTCATTTTGGGCGTATTATTGTCATAATCGTCTGCTTTTTAATCAGCGTCGCAGACTGAATCGAATGGTGTACTTTGTTAGGGTATCCGGCTACTTGGAGCTTTTCTGGAATTTTAAGTTGAAAAATGGTTGAAATTTTTACCAAAAAAGAAAATCAACAAAACGTTTCGAAATATATAGAATTCGATTCAGTTTACGACGCTGATTTCTCATATCACCGTCTATTCGATACAAAAACATATCGACATTCATCACAA